TTTTTCCAAATAATTTCGGAAGTAATGTCAATATTTGGATGAAAATTGGTCTCTGGGAGTTTTTTGACATGAGAAATTTGGATTTTGATGTCAATATGACTCCTACTAGTAGAGAGCGCCACCTACATATTTTTTAACTGGTTTGAAAATTAACTTTTCGTCCGTACCTGTATAAAACTACCGAGTAAAAAAATATACATTTACGACGTTTTCCACGTGAAAAAGGTCTCTCGGTACAATTTTTACGTAAAAAGGTCCATTGGTGAAATCGCTACAAGTAATGGTTTTCGAGATATTTGGAATCGAAGTTATCAATACCTGTCATCATTGACAAAAATTAAACATGTTGACTAAATAGTAATTAGACTGAAATCATAAAGTTGAAATGTTTCTGTGCTAAAAGTTTAACAGAAACTGTTTTATCGTCATTTTTTGCAGAAAAAATTTATGATTAATTTAAAAAAAATAAAAATATCCCCAATTTATTATTTCAGTGAAAGAACTATCTACTCAACCTGTTTATTTTTCGTCAATAATGACATGTATTGACTATTTCCATTCTAAATATCTTGAGAACGGTTGCTCGTTGCGATTTTTACAAAGAGATATTTTTTACGTAAAAAGTCACAGAGATGTATATTTTTTCGCTCGGTAGTTTTATACAGGTACGGACAAAAAGTTATTGCGCTTCAAAACAGTCAAAACACATGTAGGTGGCGCCCTCTACTAGTAGGAGTCATATTGACATCAAAATCAAATTTCTCATGTCAAAAAACTCCCAGACACCAATTTTATGCCTCCGAAGTTTCCGGAATACAGTTCGGACCACCCTGTATATCGACGTTCATATCCCTGCATCGTTGTGTAATAACGTTCATTGTAAAAAGTGTCTCGCGCATGCCAACTCCATTCCTAAATCCAAACTGTGTATCCCCAACCTGATAATAAATAATTACATTAAAATAAATTTGTGTTTAAATTTTTTTTTGGTGAGGGGGAAAAATCTTGCATGAGACACCCATAGTTATTTGTTGGTGTCAGCGGGTAGTGTCGGATTTCTACCGACTAAAAAAAAACCCTCCCTCTTCCTTTCACGCTCCGGAACCGGTCGCGTGCTTTATATCTCTCCTTATTTTCCAGTATTTGTCGAATGCATTTGTACACCGCGTCACACGTACTTTCGTTGCCCAAAAGGCATGCCATCATGTTTTCTACATTGAATGAAACTTTTGATACTCTGTCATACTCGCGTATATATTGCTCCCATCTAGAACATTTAAAACCGCATCATCAACTTCAGTACAATATAAAAATTCGTCTGTTGTAGAGAGAGGGTGTAGGTAAGGTGCTCAAATGGGTTGTCATTCCTACGAATGAACTCTCTATAGATCTCTATAGATCTTCGAAAGCATCCATGTCCCGATAGTGCTTGACTGAGGTAGTAATCTACGTCTGCATGGCTTCTCTCTGCCCATGGCTGAAGTTTAGGTATAAGATTGTAGGTCCACCTACCAGATTTTCCTTACATTCACTCTTCTTGCCATTTGTGCTTCAAATTTGCTCTTGCAGTATCTTTGGGTGTATATCTTGATGTATCTCTCAGCTCGTTCTTCTACTAAGAGGGGAATAGGGGGATACTAGATATTACATTCAACGCGTCTGAGGAAACAGTCCTATATGCACTGGACACTTTTAGGTTCACCTTTCGATGGAAACTCGTTACCGTTTTTCAATACGTTACTTTGGACATTAAAACGTGCCATACGGGGGCGCCGGCGCCGTATAATAATTGTGAGTGTATCACGCTTGCCAATTACTCTTCTTTTTGATGATCTTGGACCGCCCAATCTAGGCATCAGTGAACCCGGAGCTGTAAACGTTTGGTCTGCTTTTGCAATAGCCTTGTTTAGATGTTCAGCAAAGGTTAATTTTGAATCCAACCATATACCGAGATACCTAAGAGCATTTTTTGGAATGACTGTGTGTAGAACTGGAGAAAGAAAGAGAGAAGAAAATTGAGCGTAGATAGTGGATAACGAATGGGTGTAGGTAGGGTGCTCAAATGGGTTGCTGTAATAGAGACCACGTGCTGACAAACAAAGCAGAGGTAGACTACCTACATAGTGACTTGGTCACCCGAAAAGACTGGAACACAATTAGGCTAGTCAGAATAGATGCAGATAGCAATACATGAGGGTGGTCATTCAGTGGACGATTTAGTATTGTTTCATGGTGATAATTTTAAAAATCATAAAAATTCCGCGAAATAAACCTAATTTTCTTTAAAGATTTTGAATAACTTTTGACTGAAGTATTTTTTTCTTATCTAAGAAACATTTTGTTAATGTATATATCTATACTTAATTCAATATTTTTAAAACTGTAGCTACTTATTATATAGTGTTGTCATCTATATCTAGCGGGAGTAAACAAACAAGTTCTCAAAAAATAACTAAGAGTTGAGAAACTTCTTTCATCTATTGCCATTGATACTGGAAAAGTGTAAAGTATTTTTCTGTTATGGAGCAAATAAGACCAGTTGCAATATTGGGGATTTCAGTAGTTTTATGTCTTGCGTCACATATATGCTTTATAAGTTAGTTTTATTGCTATTTTAAACGTAGGATAGGATAAATATATACTCGTATTGGTTTCATATATTGTGTTGTAATATCATTTTTTGTAACTACATAAATAATTTCAAGAAAAAATATTTAGTATTATAAAGTTATAAAAGTATTACTTTACATGGCTCTCTAACATTTTAAACACTTATCATTTTGCTTCAGGTTAGGCCTTAAAGATAAATTCAAAATTCCAAAGCTCAAAAATTTGTCTTAATAAAAATACTGCTACATTCTCATTTTCCTCTTCAGTGTGTTGTATTCCGAATCATTCTTATATACTTTGGTTGTTGATGAATAGGCAGTATGAGGTACTCCGTCTTGTAAAACACGATATAAAAATTATACACTGCTGGCAAAGGAACATTAGCAATAGGAGGTTTTCAATGTGATAAAAAAAGATGGTAAGGCTGCAAAATACACTGCAGTGCAACAGAGACGGATAAAGAGTCTTTTCCCTACCATCGTATAGGGGAAGTGATCATAGAAATGATACGACGAGAGAGCCTCTGCGGGAGGGGGCGCCGGGCGGGTCTTTAAGACGCTTGTGTGGGGGCTACCGCCTACTAATAGAATAGCATCGAAAAAAGTAGAAACAGGACGGACAGTGTTGCCATTCTATTAAATCGAAATTATGTTGGCTTATCCCAAATCCCAAATCCCAAATTTTCTAATCCCATTATCTTGCCTGCTTAATGAAATATTAAATAAAGTACGAAACAATTTTAAGAATGTTTTCTATAAGCAAATAACTTGTTTCTAAAACGAAAAGTAACATGTAAAACTTTGAAATCATTTCTGAAATAGCAAGTGCAATTCTATGAAATGGCAATTGTGCAGAAATGCAGTTGTGGACTGTATTAATTTTAAATTTTAGTTTGACTGGTCTTATTTTATCAATGAAAATTACGTTAATAGCTGGGAGAAACCGCACAGAGAAATGAGAAACCTGCTCCTACCTTTAATGGTCGTCTCAGACAGCTTCAGAGGGCCCTCTTCTCGATCTTGATCTTCTCAGCGCTAATTTTCACACATACACTAACATAAATCGTCTTTGAAGGGATTTAACTTTTAAGTTCAGACTTTCGGCGCGTACCGGTTAGCTGACCAATTTCGTCGTACGACGGTTTGTAATAGACTGTGTGCTACACTTCCTAGTGTTCGGGCATGCGTACACTAATGTTGCAGGAAGCAGGTATAAGTGCGGCAATTTAAAATTTAAAGAAATTAAAATAATTAATCTTAATCTAAGAAATTACATAAAAGAAAATAATTTTATAAAAAATATTAAGTTTCCTTAACATTCCACCCACCAAAACATATGTTTTTAAAAATAAGATAAAGGAAAAAAGAAATAATAATGCAAAGTTAAGAATAAAAAAAATGTATAAAGAATTATTTTACCTTATTAGTTGCCAGGTAAAGGGCAAATTTTGACAACTGGCCTTTGTAATATCCCATGTGCAGTTGTAACTACACGAACAATATTGTCTTTTCCGGGATGAAGCTTTATGACTCTACCCAATTCCCAAGATAACGGAGATTTTGTTTCATGTTTGATCAGAACTAATGAATTCAGTTTTATTTCAGGAGTAGGTTCAGTCCATTTATGCCGTTCTTGCATTAAATGTACATACTCCTGAGACCAACGTTTCCAGAAATCAGTATGCATACGTTGAATTAGTTGCCATCTTGACAATCTATTAAGAGGGATAGAGGTCAGATCAGGTTCTGGAAAACCAATTGTTAAAGGTTCTAAAGTCAGAAAGTGACCAGGAGTTAATGGTTGTAAATCATTGGGATCGGCACTTATAACCGATAATGGCCGAGAATTCAGCACTGCTTCAATTTGGGTTAGAATAGTGGAGAATTCTTCATATGTCAAAATCTGAGAGCCGATTGTTCGATATAAATGAGATTTCATAGATTTTACACCGGCTTCGGCCAGGCCATTAAAGTGAGGACTGCCGGGTGGATTAAATTTCCAAGTAATGGATAAAACTTGAGCCGCAACCTGGGCGAATTGAAGCATTTGGTTGCTGGCACCTTTGAAATTAGTACCTTGATCACTAGAAGTAAAAGAACATCTGCCACGACGCGAAACAAAACGCTTAAAAGCGGCCAAAAAAGCCTCAGAAGTAAGGTCTGAAGTAGCTTCAAGATGTATTGCTTTGGTAGCTGAGCATACAAAAACACAAACATATCCCTTATAGATCTTGGCTTTTCTGTATCGATGCATTGTTAGAGAAAAGGGACCTGCAAAATCAATACAAATGGACGAAAAAGCCTTCAATTGTGAAATACGTAACGATGGCAAGTCAGCCATATAAGGATTGTATGATTTAGGTTTACAGCGAAAGCAACGAATACATCGATTTAAACATTTGTATATAGAACTTCGTGGAGATGTATCCAAAATTGTTGAAGGATTAAACAGTGCAATGTCTTTAAACCTGGGTGAAGGTTTGCTTGATGAATCCACTCAATAATCAAATCAGTAAGTCTGTGTGATTTAGGCAATAATATAGGGTGTTTTACATCGTAAGTGAAGTTGCTATTATTAAGTCTGCCACCCACCCTGACAAGACCTTCCGAGTCCAAGAAAGGTGCGAGTTTCCGAAAAGGTTTAGGAAGTAAAGCATTTGATAGAATTTTATCTATAATGTCTGAAAAGGTCTTTCGTTGAACATGTCGAATAATATAAATCAATGATTTACGCATTTCAGAAGATGAAATAAAAGAGGTTTTACTTTGCAGTGAATCTTTAGATTTAAGGAAAAATCTTAAAACATAGGCTAAAATTCTTTGAATTTTACGTATCGAAGAAAACTTGTGTAGCAGATCGCATATGATATCTTCTTCTAATGAAACATGGAGAGATGTTTGTTTTTCTTCACTGTAGACAGATTCACACATTTCTAAATGAGGTTGAGCAGGCCAGACATCTCGGTTGCAATGTTGAAGAAAGTTTGGACCGCGCCACCAAATTTTGTGTTCTAAGAGTTGAGATGCAGTTAAACCACGAGATGCGCAATCTGCAGGATTGTCACTGGACGGAACATAACGCCAGGAAGTGTTAGAAACTTTGCCTTGGATATGACTTACTCTGTTAGCTACAAAAGTTTTCCATTTATGAGGACTGGCAGCTAACCAGGCTAAAACGACAGTCGAATCAGACCATGCATATATGGAATTAAAACAGAGATAATCTGCGTAAGTAGTAGTAACAAAAGTAAGCAAATCCGCCAATAAAACAGCTGCACAGAGCTCTAGACGAGGCAATGAAACAATTTTTAATGGAGCCACTTTACACTTAGCAGTGACCAAAAAGGTACTGACTTGACCACTATCATTGATAGTCCGAAAATATATGACGGCTGCGTAACCAGTTTGGGAAGCATCACAGAAACCGTGCAGTTCCATACAAGAAATATTATCAGAAATTACACGTCGAGGTATTCTAATTCCAGCTAGTTGGGATAGTTCGGATTTATACCTATTCCAGACCTGCAATATTTCTGTAGAAGGAGTTTCATCCCAAGATATATTAGATTCCCAGAGTTTTTGTAGAAGACATTTTGCTAATAGAATAACTGGGGAAATAAAACCAATAGGGTCATATATTCTACTAATTTCGGAAAGTATATTCCGTTTAGTACATTGGCGATCAACTGGATTAAAAGAATAAGTAAACTCGTCAGATTTTGGACACCATTTTAGACCTAAAACTTTAATGAACGAGGGTTCTTCTTTGTCAAAGCTACAAGACATTTGTACATCAGAAGGAGGAATATGGCTTAACAAATCAGGTTGATTACTTGCCCATTTTCTCAATTCGAACCCCCCAGTACGCATAAGATCAACAAGTTCGTGTTGCAAACTTAGAGCAGAATTTAGATCTTTGCACCACAAATTGCGTCATCTATATAAATATTTTTCTTTATTGCCTTTGCAGCTAAAGGAAAATGAGACTCTCCCTGATTAGCAAGTTCTTGCAGTGTTCGAAGAGCTAAATATGGAGCAGACGATACCCCGTATGTCACTGTGAGCAGTTTGTATTCTTGAATTGGTTCATCTGAAGAAAAACGCCATATGATTCTTTGAAAGTTTTGAAATTGTGGTTGAATAAGAATTTGTCTATACATTTGCTTAATGTCACAAATAAAAACATATAGATGAAATCTAAAAGTTAAAAGAATAGAAGCAATATCCTGTTGTAACTTAGGTCCTATAAATAAAGAATCATTGAGAGATGTTCCATTCGTGTCTCGAAAACTAGCATTAAAAACCACCCTAAGTTTAGGTCCAGATATCTCATTTTTTATAACAGAATGATGAGGTATGTAGTAAGCTGTAGGAGAGTTATAGCACAGATAACACATAATCCAGATGGCCATTGCTTACGGAACAGCATGTTTTCGATGAGACAGTTCCCGATTAATGACACAGAGGGCGCCTATAGCCAAATCTAATAATATTTTTAAAACGAACGAATTTGGAGCCACACCACGGCCACGCGATGTGAAGCGACGTAGCCGGTTGTTCACATTTATAAGCAAATTCCCGGTCAAACCCAGGGAAAATGTATATTCGGACAATACTAGACAATTGGATATGAAAATACTAGTCGCAGTGGATGTTTGAAAGTCAGAATTTCTAGATGCATATGTATGCTATTTATAGCCATGAAATTTATAATTTAGATTTTATTTTTATTATTTGTCTCTTAATATTCATTAGCTGAAAATAAGGGTAAAGGTTATCTCTATAGTAATAAATAAAATTTGGCACATAGGTTCCTTAAGTGATGTAAATGAGCACTAAGAAGGGATTTTTTGAAAATTCGACCGCTAAGGGGGTGAAATTAGGGATGAAAAGCTGCATAAAAATTTGTTAAAATCTGGTTTAAGAGTATGAAATTTTTCACGAGTGCTCCTTGACTGACGTAATTGAACACTAAGGGGCAATTTTTGGAAATTCGCTCGTTAAGGGGGTGATATGGATGGGTACTTTTGTATACAAAAAAAGCATGTCCTAGGACTACGAAATTTTGCACAGAGGTGCCTTAAGTAGCGTAACTTAACAGTTCGATTATACAAAGCGATTTTAGGAAATTCTTCTACTAAGGGGTGAAACTGGGGGTGAAATTTTGCATACTTTTTTTAAAAATTAGTCCGAGGAGTTTGAAATTTGGAAATTGTTAATTAAGTGACGAAAGTGAGTACTCAGAAGCGAATTTTGGACATTCATCCCCTAAGAAATAAGGGATGAAAATTGGTATAAAAATTTGTTAAAATCGGTTTTAGAAGTATGAAATTCTGCGTAGACGTTCCTTATGTAACTTAATTTAGCACTAAGAGGCAATTTTAGGAAATTATCCCTCTAAGGGGGTGAAATGAAGGGTGAACGTTCTGAAAAAAAATCTGTCCTAGAAGTATGAAAATTTGCACAGAGGTTCATCAAGTGATGAAAGTTATACTCAGAAGCGAATTTTGGGCATTCATCCCTTAAGAAATAAGGGATGAAAATATGTACAAAAAATTTGTTAAAATCGGTTTTAGAAGTATAAAATTGTTCGCAGACGTTCCTTATATAAGGTAATTTAGCACTAAGAAGCAATTTTTCGAAATTTTCCCTCTAAGGGGGTGAAATGAGGGGTGAACTTTCTGAAAAAAATCTGTCCTAGAAGTATGAAAATTTGCACAGAGGTTCCTCAAGTGATGAAAGTGAGTACTCAGAAGCGAATTTTAGGCATTCGCCCCATAAGAATTAAGGGATGAAAATTTGTACAAAAATTCATTAAAATCGGTTTTGGAAGTATGAAATTTTGCGCAGACGTTCCTTATGTAACGTAATTTAGCACTCAGGAACAATTTTTGGAAATTCGCCCTCTAACGGGGTGAAATGAGGTGTGGACGTTCTGAAAAAAAAATTGCTTGTTATTGCTTAATTACGTTACATAAGGAACAAACAGAATTTCATACTTCTAAACCCGATTTTAACAAATGTTTGTACAAATTTTCATCCCTTATTTCAAGTGCAACTATATAAAAATTATACAGGGTGGCGCCTCTCATACGACTCGGAGGCTCCAAGGAGAACGACCAGTTCGTATTGAAATGAAATTTTGTGAGCATATGTAAGTTAATTCTGCGCACGTTTTAAAAATATAGAGAGTTCTACAGGGTGTCCCCAAAAAAAGTTACACATCAAATTTGTGTTTTTTTGTAACGGAATACCCCCTTTATTAATTAATTTTTAGATTCTAAGAGAAAAATAAAGGTGTGTTTTATTAGGGAAGTATATGACTGAAATGTAAGGTTTTAGACTTACTTAAGATTTTGAAGAACAATTTTTAAATTTCAAGAAAAACTACCTAAATTGGAATTTACTCTATTGCACTTTAAATCAAATTAAAACCTGACCCATAAAGTTATACAGGGTGGGGCAAAATTAATGCTGAACATTGGTATAACCTGTATAACTCCTTTAATACCCACCCTGTATAACTCCTTTAGTTTAATTGAATCACCCAGAATATTATTCCGATATTCAATGGGAAATTCATGTCACTTCCAAATACTATTAAGGTTGCCGGCCTACCCCTCAAACAAAGATTTTCCTAGATATTTTCATTTCTATGATTTAGTGTGAATAGATCTTTATTATTTGATAAAATCTAGGGTGGCTGTGATATGTCTGACGTTACTTCAACATAGCTGTCAAATTAGTTCAACTTTAGCAACTAGTTATCATTTTGGGTCAGTTCGTCAGTTGAAACAAAAAAAAATCTAAGAAATTTTCCGAAAATAGAAACTTATCCTACATCAGAGAGAATTGATATGATTCTATTAGTTAGCTCCTGATTTTATCTAGTCTGGGTTTTTTTATTTGATTAACATATATCAAATAAAAAAGCCCAGACTAGACAGTGTTAACAAAACTCGACCAAACCAAACCAAACTATTGTCTGAAACTGCATTTTTTTACTTACTAAATATAAATTTTACTTTGTTTTGTTGATCTTTGAAAGGTGTATAAAGTCGAATCATTTTAGATTGGACATTTAAATTTTATGGGATTTTCGGGATCCCGGAATTTAATATCGGGATTTCGGAGATAAACATACACGCCGCCGGGATCCTGGGAGTTCGGGATTTCAGGAAACTCTAGTCGTGAGATTAATGATGTACAGATGCATGTCATGTTGATTTGGAAGTGACAATCGATAAGATTTATCATATAATTTTACATACCTATTAAACGACAGCGATCTTCATTTCCAAGCCCACTCCCATGCCTTTTTTTTCTATCGTACGGTATATTCACTAACTGCATTACCTACTTATAATTTATAACAGTTTATATTCACTGATTCATTTATAATTTGTATCCACTTAATATTACTTGATTTATCCATCGTAAACTTTGCATAGATATAGAAATATAACGATGGACAACTCTTAATGTGTTAAATTATACCCTACGATCGAAAAAAAAACGGCGTCCGATTGGTTTGGAAATGACGATCGATGACATTCCCCATATAATTTTACATATCAAATGACAGCGATCTTCATTTCATAGCCATCGCTGACGCCGTTTTTTTTTCGATCATACGGTATATGGTAAAAGCCATCGATCACCATTTCTAAGGTAACTTAACGCCGTATTTTTACATACAAAATGTGCAAAAAAATTCTATATGAATGAACTCACAATTTTCTATCCACTTTGTACATAAATTAGGATCTCTTGACGCATGAAACTTAAACACATGTACACCTGATTTCCGAGAAATCTCACAATTGTAAAATTGACACTTATTACCAGATATTTTAATAATAATTATCACTAATCACACAGTTGTAATCAAAGACAGTCAAAGGTATATAGTATATTACCATCACAGATTACCATATATTACCCGGCTTTTAAAATATCCATTAAAAACAAAAAACAGTAACGACATATCTAAATATTCTATCCTTGTCGCATATGGTTCGTTCCTGTATTATTCTGTGATAAGGGAAGGAATAGAGATTTTCTGTGATAAGTGGTAAAGCTAGGTTTTCATATGTACAAATTTGGCAAACTTTCCAGGAAATTCGGTCTTATTTTTATTATAAAATTATTTATCATAAACAAATTTATTGTAAAAAAAAAATTTGAACGTATATTCAAATTTTAAACGTTTCAATTAATAAATAACGTAAATCACTTTTAAATTAAATTTAAGAAAAAAAAATCAAAATTAATAAAACGTAAATCACTATAACAAATCATTATTTTAATTTCAAATTTATATTTCGAAGTTATATTACAAGTTATTTACTGTTGTCTTATACAGAGTATATCAAGACAAATGCGAAACTTTAAGGGGTGTATTCTTTGTTATTTGTCAACATTTTTAAAATAAGCTGAAGAGGTTGAAATAAACTATTTCTAATATTCGTTAATTTGACAAAAAACTGGAGCAACGATATGGAAAAAATGGATAGATTTGTATATTTAGAACGTTTTTATGACTTGCAATTTTTCCATTAAATTCATTATTTGAAGTTAAAAAAAAATGTAAATCATTATGTATTGGGACCAAAAAAATATTTTAGCAAAAAAGCTGTTCGCCTTAAAAACAGTTTTATTTTCTACTACTGTAAAATATTTTTAAAAACGACATATAAAGTTGCCTATATATAAAGATAATTGATTTACAAACATGTTTTAAGCTACCCTTCCTAAATCTTCCTTAAAATAAAAAGATTAACAGATGGGAATACCTATTATACCGTATGATCGAAAAAAAAACGGCGTCCAGTTAGCTGGGAAATGGCAATCGATGACATTTCCCATAT